AAAAAAAAAAAAAGTAATTATTGCAAGGGGCTGTTATGGAACCTTTACATTTGGTTGAATTTAGCAGTTGCATTGGAAGAAATCATTAGGCATCCATGTTATATAGTCCTGATTTGGCTCTGATTTCTTTTTATTTCTTAATCTTAAAAAAAATATTTAAAGGATATCCATTTTTCTTCAGTTAATAATATAAAAAAGACTGCGTTGACATGGTTAAATTCCCAGGACTCCCAGGTTTTTAGGGATAGACTAAATGGCTGGTATTATCACTTTAAAATTTGTTGTACTTAATGGAAAAAAGAAAAGAAAAGAAAAAAAGTTTATATTTTTATCTTTTAATTCCATTTTCCATGAACTTTTGAAGTCCCCTCGTATTTCGACAGAGTGAAGCATCAAGTGGAGAAATTAGCATTTCAAAGCAGGAAAAACTTTTCAAAAGTCACCTTGGTAGATTTGTAAAAGAGGATTTCAATAAAAGAACTGAAATTTCAAAATATAGAATTAGAGAATTCTGGGAAGATGGTTGACTGGTTGCAAGCAAACCTCAGCAGAGGCTCTTGAGCAGAGGAAGAAAAACTGGACAGAATTGGACTCTATACAGCCAAAGGTGGGGAGCTGAGCCAAGAAAGAAGTTTGGCAAGCTGTAACTCCAAGGAAGGAAGAGTGTTCAGGAAAACAAATTACAGGTACAAAGCCTGAGGATGGGAGATCCCTCCCCCAGGCAGGAGGCTTTACCTGTGAATGAGCAGGGAATAAAAGACCTCTTATTTTACCTAGCTGAAGAGAACTGCTAAACTCCAGGTCTCTTTCTCCAGTGAGGTCCAACTTATGAACCTAGATGCCACCCCGCCAGACATAAAATGGAACAGATATTTCCCTCCACAAGTCCAAACTCCCAGTCCACCCTTTCCCCCTTGCATGGTGGTCTGAAGTTCTGCCCCCTGCAGAGCAAAGTGTTTGGTCTTGTCCTGAGAGATCAGGGCATAGTGTAGACTGCCAACCATCAGGACAAAATCCTGCCAGAAAATAAATATGGGGTGGAACCACAGGACGAACTCTGGCAACATGAATAATCAGAGTAGATCAACTCCCCCAAGGAATGACAAAGGTGATACATCAGAAGATGCTACTCATAAACAAATGGCCAAAATGTCAGAAATAGAATTCAGAATATGGATGTCAAATAAGATGAATAAATTAGAGGAAAAGATGGAAACTGAAATCCAGAAAGTTGAGCAAAAGTTGTCTCAAGAAATTAATGAATTCAAGGACAAGTTTACCGAGGATATGGACATAATGAGAAAAGAGGTAGCAGAGCTTGAGGAAATGAAAAAAATTATTTGAGGTGCTCCAAAATACAGTAGAAACCCTCAGTAATACAGTGGAACAGGCAGAAGAAAGGATCTCTGAAGTCAAAGACAAAGCTTTTGAACAT